GCTAGTCAATCATTACTAGCATAATACTTTTGTTTAACGAACGAGTAATATTACCTTTTTGTTAAATCAAACCCGGGCATACACCTTCCCATTGCAACTATTTAAAAAAATATATTCAATACAAAAAAAAAATGATTGGATGAAATATATACTGTCTCTTTATTGTAAATAGAATTTAATATTTTCACTTATTTCAAAATACATTCATATCTAATTTATCGCTAGCACAGAGCAGAAAGAGAAGCTCACAGATGTAATTTTCCATCGCCACAAATAAATCACTGTTATTAGATTAATTAATGAATAAAGAAAGAAGAAAATCAAAACAAAAAGGCGAAAAAATGTATAAATGATACACTGGCCAAATTAAATAGTTACGCAAACGCTACTCTTTTGATGATTTTTTTAATTTAATCAGATCAGGATAAGCAGTTAAGCAGTGCCTCTCAAAACCGTAACGCATGCATGAAATTTACACATACATACAAATTTCTGCGGTAAACACAAGTTTTGACCTATCGTGTTAGTATGGCGAATAAGCTGTAATAAGTGTAGCTTACGGCCGCATCGGTGGCGGCGACACCAGAGTAGCGATCAGTTGAAAATATTCCACTACCTAGAACGTTATAGTAGTTCTGCCTATTTTTGATAGATGGCACTTTGACTAGTTGAAACAAATCATGATCGCATGATCATGAGTCTCTGAACACTCGTATGGATTAGCTCTATACGAGTGTTCAGAGACTATTAGTATGTAAGTAAGAATTCAACAATGTAGTAGTTGGATTTTATGTGTAAGGTATGGAGTGCTTATTTCCAAGTATGGTTTGCACGCTACTGTATGTTTTCATATAAAGAATTCTCTCGCCACCTTCGGCCTTCGTTTAAGATTATACTTATTTATAAGGGTTCTTTCTATTATTATGTACTGAAAGACTCCATTCGATAAGATTTTAAAACAGCATGTCCGATATCGAACGAAAATGGGATTGAAACTTTGTGATATTTCATAAAAAATTCGGGTACAAAGATATTCAATATTTATATATTTTTTAATTACAATTTTTCTATGTTTGTATGTTAAAGAAATAAATCGATACGATTTTAAAAACATTGGTCATTATTTGAACATGCTGTATACAAGAAAGTCTTCCACTTAAGCCTACACAATATACATTTACAAAATATACACGTTCTTTTTCACAATAAATAATAACGACTAATTTATATGAATATCAAGAATTACCATGTTTTCATTTAATATTATACACTTTAAAATAATCAATTACTCCTATTATATCTAGAAACACCGACAATATCTTTTAAATCTATAAAGGACAATCAAGGAAGTTGGCAGTCTACCACTTTTAGTCAATTAACGTTTATTCACAAACCCCACGCTTGCTGTAGCACAGCCGCCGAAGAGAAAGAATTACGCACAACGACCCGGCACTACATATCTCTCACTCATGCGCAATCATATTGCTATTGCGCTCGCACAGATGCATCTAGCCAATTTTGTGATATTAAAGTGAAATTAAAACGTTTACGATACTACTAGACACAACGGTCAACGTACGAAATCCTTTTATTCGTAAGATACTACTCACAACAACAACTGTTTTAATGTTATTATGTTAGTATGTAATAGAATACCCTAAACCTCCTCGATCATACGTAATGAATAAACCTACATCAAAAAGTGTTCTCCATAATTTTACTGTATCTCTAAAATATCTGAGAGTCGATTGGGCGCAATCGAAGCTGACTCAACTGTTAAATAATATAAGAATATCACATTTATAACTCAGATCCCAAGTTGAATAATTGAAAGCCCTTGTATTACAGAATTCATCAGCAAACGCAAAGGCGTATTTATGCTAGAGTAATAAAGGGTCATGGCTCAAACATTCTGAAAGAAAGGAGCGCAAGAAATATTTTTATGATGACTTATAAAATGACCAAAGCATAACCTCCATTGCTGACCTAACATTATGCAGAAAATATTATTTTCCCTGCTGGACTCAATAGTATCTTGCCATCACCTCGTAGCCAGTGTGCAAGTCAGCTACGGACCTCGTCTAATCAAAAATGATGAAGATACTTAAAAATACTGAAAGACACTGATGTGGTTACTCCCTGAAGTAGGCACAGAACTTCAGACTTTTAGAACAGCAAAAAAAATATAAGGCATACCTTACATAACCTTATAAGTTCAAAAGTGGGGGCTCTGTTATTCACTTATAATAAATGGAATGGCTGAACCGATTTGGATAAAATTAATGCTACAATACACAGTACAGAGTATGTAACGTATTTATGACAAGGTATCTAAGTTATTGTGTTTTCTAGCATGGTCATGTTCAATTAATACCATAGACATATAATTATCCCAACTCTTTTTTACTAATATCGAAGAAACTTGCCATATTTCATATAATTTGTACACAATTTTTTTTGAATATTTATTCCTTAAAATTATTTCTATGACGTCCGAGATCACATCGCTTAAAGGTGGCAGAGCGTCGACTTCCTCGATTGTACATACAACACGTAAGATTTCCACATAAGTGACAATTTTTTGCGATCGGCTTTGAACTCTACAAACGACGCAATAAAGTTTATAAACGATTAAAATATTTAATCGTTCTATAAAAACCAGTTATGCTGAACGCAAATGACAAATAATATAATTTGAGTTTGTTGAATTGAAAATTTATTCTTTTTAGCAAAAAACACGCATAAAGTTGCCAAGTCAAAAACTTAAGTTCTGTGGCCACGACAGTCAAGTTATAAGCTAATAAGAATCATGACATCATCCTTGGTAACATTTACTGAAACCCTGCACAAGATTTACTAACTACATAAGACAAAAGATAAAAAAATAATAGACCCATCTCAGTCACCGCCTAATAGAAAAACTATGTAAATATTATATTTGATAGCCACACTTCATAATAATATTAAAAATGCAAAACTCTGTTTATTATGCCCAAGAAACGACGTGGGTTTAAAACAAAACTTGTCAAAAATGTGAATATTATTATAATGAGATTAGTCTCTGTCGACGAGGATTCATCTAAACAAGCATTGCAAGGCAAACTCGAGAGACTGGAAACGCTTGAGGAACTCGAAAAAGAGATAAGCCCGTACAATATTCCACTCTCCGTCTCACTCTCGCCTATTTCTCAAGTTCGTCATGCTACGCGAGCTAGAGTACCTTGATAGATATATATATTGCTAAATATTCTAATTTATTACCGGCAGTGGTGTGAGATGTTACTCCGCTTATAATATGGTCCCAGAGTTAAATAAAAGAATAACATCACATCAATCAATTTCTCATGCAAATTCAACAAGTACCAAAAAGATTCGATTAATGTATAAACAGGATATTTTTTAAGTATCAACAACTTTAAGAGTATTTTATTTAATAACTTTTAATACAAAGATTCAAAAAAAATTGTTGCTTAAAAAATCATCCTGTTTATACAATACATATATTCTGTTACTCGACACAAGAGGTGAAATGTTATAAGGAATTGTTAAGTTAAAAAACTAAAAGTTGATGGTTTCGATAGTTGATATCTATATCTCATTATGTATTTGAATGAATTAGAATATACGCAGAAGGCAAAATTTCGATGCGTAGCAAATGTCGACCAATCAGAGTGATTCAAGTATCACGCCATAGAGCGATCCAGCAATATCCACACGCCTGACCCTTCCTGAGTGTGAGAGTGACGGACATCCTATGCGTTGTATTTTACAGCTTATAGTTATTGAAACAAGACTCATTATTCTCGGAATTGGTAGACCCGCTCTGCACAAACTAAGATTATAATCATGCGCCATATTAGTTGGAATTTTTATCCCTTACCAATTTTTTTTTTACATTTATCTAATGGTCTGTAGTCTGAACCATAGTTTTAGCCTCTTGTAGCAAGAACAAAACTTTATTATAATTCAATATTAAAACAAATAGTAAACACCCTATTTCAGTTTAAAATAAATGTTTTTGGAATAAAAATTAGAATAGAAAATATTATAATTTATATCTTCTTTTCAAACAAGCTTAATCCTTGTATATTACTAACTTAATATTCATACAAAAAATATCATACTTATCTATTTAAATAAAACAAAACATTTATAACTATATGAACTGAATATGACAATTTTAAAGACATATTGAAGAGTCGTGGTAGGTTCAAAATGACCAATCACTCAATCAATTGAAAACTCTATTGTCAACACAAGTTAAAATTGATATAGAGGTATTAGAGAATTTTATATAAGTGTAATGTTTGTTTATCAATAATACGATTGTATCATTTTAATTTTAAATCGATAACAGTCATTTGACTTGTAAGAATAAATCGATCGACCCTGTTATTTAGAAAATATATGAGCAATATAAGACTTTTAACATACATGAATTATTTGTTAACAGTGTACATTTTTTGTATGGTTTAGTTTCGTTAATAGAACATATTTATGGGGTTATTTTTTTAAATTACATATTTAAAATGTTAATTTATTTTTTATTTTACTATTAGCTAATATTTGTCAATTAAATTTCTCTGTATGTAATAAATTGAAAAAGAAAGTGGTTACAATGAATTTCTTGATGATTCTTATTATTAGTTTCCAGCCGTAGATTTACAAACCGTTGGTATAGTAGTTTAACGTTCACAAGGGCTTGTAACAGCCTTGATTAATTTGAATCTTATTTTTTTGAAACCTTTTGTCTTCCGGGTGATTACTCTAACTATTTACCTATCTACGACCGAATCGAGACTTGACGTGTGAAGGTTACCATTCTTTGCTCACCAGATGGCATAAGAGAAATAATACATCTTTCAACTCGCCATAGCTCAGTTTTAAAGCAATGACATTCATTGACCTGTGTAACACATAATTGCTTTAATCAATCGCAGTAAGCCCAAAATAAGCTCGAAAATCGCTTATTTGAAAAGACACGCGTGTAGCTCACCGACAAAGTATTTATTATTATTATTAAAGTATGATATTTGTCATTTTTGTGGTGAAATCATACTAGTTAGCCGATTTTATCTTATAGGGAAACTATTCCCATTAATGTTTAAGTAGGATTATGAATGCATGACTTATCACATAAAATGAATAAGATATATCAGATTAGATAAGGTTTCACTAAACGGAAGCATTGAATATGGAAATGGAGTGAGGAGCTCGATAGCGCAGAAGTTAGTAAGTTAAGTAACTTTCGCAAGGACCGGTCATAGGATGAACGACTAAAAATTTATTAATAAGAGCTCCTCCGTGCTTCGGAAGGCACGTAAAACCGTCGATGCTGATTGTATCTCTAGTTGTTAACACCCACAAATCCGCAGTGGGCCCGCGTGGTGGTGCATGGCCCAATCTCTCTATTCGATTCGTTTCCATCCGTAGGGAAGGTCTGTGCCCACGGAAGTAGACATGTTAGATGACGATGATACATATATACAGAATCATTCACGGATGCAGTTATGCAAATGCAGAGTCGATATTTTAAATAAACATGAAATAATAAAACACCCTTCATATGAAAATAAATCAACTTGGTATAAGTTGTTTTTCCTTATAATTAGATAAGCAATTACAAGTGATTGATTAGAGTAGGCAGACTGATTATTGGTACAATAATTGTATCATAAATGTTCATAGAAAGAAGAACATGGATAAGACATTTTTCATAATATTCAATGAATTCTAAAGGAATGTCCATAATAATATTTTTATTTCAGATCAATGATCCCAATTTAATCTACCTACTCCAATTACTGATCATTATAAATATTATAACTTTGGTACTGAAATTACATATGCCTAATTATGTATAATAAATATATGTTTCTAGGAAGTTTATACTTATAAAAAAAATTAGTACACAACTGGTCCAGTTTTGTATTATCTCAACCTATTATGGAGTATGATTATTTAGTTTTAAATAATATGAAAGTTGTTTAAAACAAGTTGTATAGGTATGTAGTACTAGTTTAAAAGTGAATATGTAGTACTTACATAAAAAATATTGAGTATATTTTGGGTTACAAAAACGTTTTTATTTTTCTCGTTTTATTTACTTAACGTTATTTTTCGTACAACTATGAAACATGTATCTTCGTAATTTATTAATAAAATATAAATATATCCATAAGTTTTCACACTGTGTTGGAAAAAATATTTTAGTAAACTATATTTATGAATACAGCGTATCCCCATATCTCTCTTTTGTAGATTAATAGAAAGAGAGAACGGTATGACATTATGATAAGTCCGTATTAGATATAATGTATTGTAAAGCGGGCTTTATCATTTCAACTGTTTCTTTAAATGTCGTACATAAAAACTGATTAAATATGAGGTATATTAAACGTCTTCAGTTAATAAGTTAACTTGAAAAGTCTGAATAATATTTTACCAAGAATAACATAGTGCTATTGCTCAAAATTATTTAGTAGACAGCACGTCAAGGAATACAAAACTATCAAATTTCTAAATTTGATTTATATCTTAATGCGTTGCCGTAAGAGTTCTAAATCGAAAATATATGCAAACTGACGCGCTGTCGTAAAAATCAATATATAATTCTTCGTTATAGGATTGTCGACCTTGTAATCCGCATGTTAGAGTACAAATTTGAATAATCCTAATAGGAGCAAAATTTATAACAATTACCAATTCGATTGTTTAGAATCTTGTGGCAGTATATGACGTCAACTCTGCGACGTATAATGTATTATCCAGGTTAGTATCAGTCTATTTCTTTCTGAAAACAAAATTAATTTTATTATCATTAATATTTAGTATTATAAATATTTTATAATTATGTTAGAGGAAAAAGAATCATCGACTGCTAGTAATGTCACTGGCTATCTTACAAGCCAACATTTTCAATTTTTATAAACAGAAACTGGAATTATTTAAACAAAGTGACATACCATGACCGTACCATGTCCTGGCGCATTGGTTAACGTGTTCGATCTGTAATACAGCTGCAAAGGGCGGTCTTAAGATAGGTGACCGAGAATTAATTATTACTAGTGTTCTTCGAAAAGTATGTTAAGACGTCGGTCGCATCTGCATTAGCGATCGTTAACATCCACCAATTCGCAATGGGCTTGCGTGGTCATGGCCCATTCTACTACACCCACTAGAACGTATTATCACCGACCAACACCGGAACGCTTCGATCAGCACTCTTTGAAAACATAGACAAGGATTTTTTGCCATAAAAAAATCTATTACGGTCATAGTGTGATACGATGTGGGTAAAAAGAATCATATCTACAATTTTTAGAACTCAGGGAAAATGAACCTTATCCACATTAATACTCACTTGTGATTTTGTATGTGGTTAGGTGTATGAGGCGAGTCGCTCGCGTCTGAAGATGAACTACGAATGTCGCCTTCCATCTATAATTCATAACATTATAATGAGTACAATATATACATAAACAGCGATCTCGTGACAAGTATTTATAGGAATAAAATTTGAAACTGTAATTTTAAATTACATTATATTAAAGAAAAAAAAAAATTATAAGGATCAACATTGATTATTATATAAAGTGTAATATTGTTATGTGCCAGGACTTCGTGGAGCGAATGAGTTAAGTAAACTGACCTACTTTTACTATGGGAGCAACACTGAATTCACGAAAAAATAATCAGCTTGTTCATATATTAAAAACTATAATACCTACAATCGCCAAAGTATGAAATGACTGAAAATTTTTGAAATTATGAAATTCATTAAAAGCTTATGAAAAGTCTGTTATGTCATTAAAGGATTTGGAGTATCAAAATTCTAGTTAATAGAGTATAAATATGGCGATGGTGAAGTAGCTTGGTGGCGTAGTGGATAAGCGCCGTGGCCCGCAATCGTTGTTGTTAAGCAACCTACGCAAAGGTTGGTCAACGGATGGATGACCAAAAAAATATTTTTTTCGAACTACTCAGTGCTTCGGAAGCCACGTTAAGCCGTTGGTCCCTGCTTCATTTGCAATCGTTAATACCCTCCAGTGCCGCATTGGGCCAGTGTGGAGGGTCATGGCTCATCCTCCTTAACCATTCATAAGGAAGGCCTGAGCCCTTGCAGTGGGGACGTAAAAGGGCTGATGATGATGATGACGATGATAATAATAATAATAATGATAAAGTTTATATATATACCTGTCCAGCTTTGATAGTAATGTAAGCTATCTGCAATATGAGCCACGTCCACACCACGTGCAACGCCAGTAGCAGACAAAGCAGCGTGTTGAAGATATAGTATGCTGCAAACATTGGCAGCAACATCGGCGCGCGGATAGACGTGCTGAAGATAATGAACCTTATTATTTACTATGCACGGTCAACTTTTAAACTATGCGCAATTTTTTATTAAGGTACTAAAACTTGTTAATATATATAAATATACAAAGAAAAAAATTGCTAAATTGTTATTTCATATTAAAATATTAACGTTTTAACATGTAGTGAAACTGTAGTTATATTGACAAAAATGGGTCACTAACCCCAGGGTACAATATAATCATAAGTAACAATGTTTATAGACATTTTTTTTGTATTTTGTCTCCGATGTAGATTAAAGAAAAGACAAAAAGCGTATTAAAATTCTAAGCAGAAATGTGATGTCACCTCCTTAGTGTGACGTCACAAATTTTGCATTTAACACCTACAAAATGTTAAAATGGAAAAGAAGTTCCGAAATTAATTGTATCTCAATTGTTTTATAAATAATAAAAAAATGGATATTGAAATTATGTGTAATTACGAATTATTCAATCTTATGATCACACCCATTAGGTTGAAAATATTGTTCAAATTCAATTTATTCAGTGTAAGCTGTTACAAGCGCTTGTGAATGTTGAAAGCTATGCCTTCGGTTCACAAACTTACGGTGGGAGACCTTGTACTGAGAAGAACCGGCAAGAAACTGAGCAAAAAATACTTTATTAGACTCGAGTCACTGAAATGAAATTAAAATATCTTTATTCAAGTAAGCTTATTTCAAGCACTATTGAATAGTTCAAATATTTTTTCCTCTATCACTTGTTCAGGACTGACAAGAAAAACAAGCGAATGAAACTTATCAGCTTTTTATCATGAGTAATGACATTTACATAAATCATGTCATTACCAAATATATTTTCACAATAATAAATACGCTTTCGTTGCATAAAAGATTACACAAAGATTTTCTCTGCCCACTACCTCCTACTTCCCCGCTAGGGATCTAATAAAAAGACATATACAAATATATAGATCAAATAAATATCTACTCTCCCCCCTCAATCCGTGTGACATAATTTATGAATCACCTCTTATAAGTAAGTAACTATAGCACAAAAGGTGACTCACCTCCAGATGATATAGAAGGGGTATATTCCAATACGAGTTCCTACCCACGTTATGATCAGCCCGAAGAATAACGTGTCACACAGCTTCTGGTAATTGGCATATTTCGCAGCTTTCACAGCCTATATAAAAAAAAAACAATAATTATTACTCTTATTCTTCTTCCCCACAGCGGGTTTTTTCCGCTGTCCTATTTTTAGTGTGACAGTAGAGGTCTTAAGTAATTTACGATATAGCCGGCTACGGGGTAGTCTAAAGTTCCTTTGTACATCGAAAAGCACGTCAAGCCGCTACCTTTGCAGTGAGCCCGAGTGGTGGGTTCTAGCCCGTACTAATGTATCCATAGACAAGGCCTGTTCCCAGCAATGTAGACATTAATAACCCATGACCATTATTTGATTATTCGCAGAGTCTTATCATGTCTGCTCTTTCAAGTAATGTATGTGATGTTATATATATTTATGTATTTATCATTACCTCTACAAATATATCAGCACAGTCGTGCAATAGCAACACGAGCGTGCCTATCCTGTGCAGGTTGCAGACCCAGCTGAAGCAGAGCAACAAGATAGTGGCGATATGGTGTACGAACATCTGCCAGAAGTCCTTGCGGCGCACGTCCCAGAACTGGGATATGGTCAATGACCAATAGAACGCCGACGAGATCATGTAGTACCACCAAACGTCGTTTGTGACACCCTGAAATAAAACTGATATCAAGGAAATATACTAGTGTGTTGTGGTATTTTGACTTCTGACAGTGATGTTGCGATTAGGGTTACCAATCGTCGAGTGCACGATAATGTTTCCCAGCCTTAGATAGGGGGACCCGCAAGTCCCTACGTAGGGTCGGGTCCAGCGGACACCTTGCTGGATCCCAGACCCACCCCTCCCCCAGTGAGGGTAATTTAAAAAAAGGTTGCCAACCATCAACACTCTCATCGGAGGGTATGCCCAGGGTTTTAGTGGGTAGGTCCCTGCCTACCTTTCAGGCGGTAGCCATAGTTTGTAACGCATTTTCCCTGGGTCAAAAAAGATACTACTACTATACTATAATACTCTTTTCTTTACACAATGTTTATTATACTAATGCCAGTCACGCATATATGATGCATAACTATTTATAGTCAAGAAAAGAGAAACAAAAAAATACTTATTATATCTCATCAATTTTTTATTCACAATGCTATACAATATTCTTATTGAAAAATTATTAAATAATCCACTTTGTCTGGAAAGTTTGTTTGGAAATGGGATCCCATCTCAAAGTGGAATATTGAATAATATTTTAATAAAAAAAAAAGTTTTTTACAGTACCAATAACAAGTAAAAAATATTTAATTGGCATACATTTGTTATAGTATGTATTACATATACAATAGGGTATTCTACCCCGTTTGAAATAACTATTGTAACTGTTTAAAGGCATAAAATAAATACGATAATTTTAGATAGCTGTAAAATACACCATGAGACATCATAGTCTTCATTATATTTATATTAATTTATTACCAACAGAAAAGCAATTGGTGCTCCTTTGTTTGTACTTTATTTTTGTGTAAATTATAATTACTTAACACAAAAAGAAGTTCTTATGAAATTCACATAAAAATAATATTATCTCTTTTTTTTCTTTCTTTAATTTCATTTAGGAACTTTAAAAAAATGTCCGTCCTACGGATCCCAATGTGAAAAAATGGTTTTTTTTGAATAGCAAATTTGTACAATTATGCACGTGTCAAGGAACGGCAATTATCACTCTCTTTGATCTATTTTGATGTCATTATTTGGTGTAAGATTGAGTTTCAAACACGGTGTATTACATAATTGTTATCAATCTTTATTTTATTTTTAATCTGCCTAATTATGTTACAAAATGACTAATCGATCGATATCACCGAATGCACGTGATTCGATCTTTTCTGTGACTCAACTTTAGCAACATTTGGCATTTGTACGGGTATTACATTATGATAATAACACCAGTTATAACAATAGTTTCCGCATCGTAAATTATATTATCAACGCGGATTGAGTATTGCGATATATACCGTCATATCGGACCATTGTAAAGATTTGTGTTATCGCATATTACGCAACATGATTAAGTATACATATTTAAAAATAAAGGGAACTGTATTGTTTTCTAGAGAAAAACAATAACTAGTTGGCAACTGTGTTATTAGAATTTTCTTTTTCATTTTTTTTCGTTTTATTTTTACGCACACACTAAAACACGTAAGGTAATCATAAAATGACAATTTTCACAATCAATTTGTAATTCTATACATACTGCATTAAGGTTACTAACCTAACATAACGTATTATTATAAACAACGCCTGCAAGTTGTTTATAATAATTGTTTAATATAATTTGTTTGTCACCTTTTAAATCAAACATAGAGGAAAATATCAAAGTATTGTCTGGTTCCTGTCACACTAAGATTAGGTATTAAGTTTGACGACGTCCTCTGTACGTTGTGGCTTTGCTAATCGATACAATGACGTTCCGATGTGAATAGATACTTATGACAGTTTAAGGATAACATCTATCAGAATGAAATGCACCGAGAAGGAAGCGAAAGAAAGGAATTTTATAATTCTTTGCAGGTCTAAAAGCACCTGTTGCGAAAGCGATGGTGCCTTTAAACGTTTCATAATCCCATAAATCGATATTACAATTGCTATCCCTTGGAAAAGGATTGCGTTAGATTTTGAAATTAGATCATTAGGCCACAGGCTGGCAATGTTATTGTTATAAAACCAGCGTTGAACTCGATAACGAGCACAACGCTGTCACTGTGTAGATAGAGATTTAACCAGATAATACCTACTTGAAAAGGTAATAAAGTTTTAGTTCATCGAAGCTCTATGACAAGACAGCGCTGAACTCGACATCAAGTTCGATGCTGTTGATTAACAAATAGCACAGCATCAGCCAGCGACTGTTATCAGTATATATATTAATTATTATATCCTACCATATAACACACAAATCTTATCATGGAAACTATGCTGAAGTGATAAATCATCTCCTTGACAAATAAGAACTATATCGTTTCTCAAAAATAAATATTACACATAAGACTAACGGTTTGCATTATGTGAAGTTGTATTAAACTGAAAACATTCACAGAGCACGTTCATAAACATTGTAAGTTTATATTCAATTGTTACACGACCACAATAAACTCTCCCATGATATTTTATTAGCAACTGACATGATAAAAAGCAAATCATAGGAGCCACTACAGATTTGTTTCGTCAGTCTTTCCAAGTTCATCTTACTATGAACTACTGTACATATTTTCGAGAGACGGAAACCAGCAGAATCCAACCAGCATTTAATGAGGTCTTATACCAGCATTCGAACGAAGCTGATCTTGCTGAGAACTTTGTTTCCAACACCGGATTGCGTTTGAAATTTGCTTTATAACTGCCGTCAACAAGCAAACTGACCTCTGTTGGAACGCTGAGTTACAACTGTGTGGGTTACACTCAATTGCCGCTCACCAATTTTAAGCAGAATTATTTCCATCGATTTACTCATTTTAGTTGCCTTCCCTTACTATTTACAGGTGTAATAACCTAAACTATTTATATAGAAGTTCTTCTAATAATAAATAAATTCATACATTATTTCTGCATCTTTCGATTGACATTAGAAAATATTCAATACTGGCTTACATGATGAGGATATCCAATATAGCAATGATCGATGTTCCACAGCCACTCTTTATCCCACAGCACGTAGAAACCGAACGTGAAATTGCAAATATAGAAGGTCATCTTCCACAAGTTCTCGCAGAACTTGGTGAGGGTAGAAGGCTTGTCTTGACTACGCCTGAGTCGAAACCACCGTTCCACATGACGCTCAGACATGTCCAACTGCTTCGCCAGTGCTGTCATCTAGTGAAAAAAAATTGGGAAGTAGGTAATTAATGCGGTCACGATTGTAGTGGTTATGTAACCTCTGTAAATGTCGGTCATAAGAGGGAGAGAATTCATTTTTTTATCTGGAGCCCGCTATGTCGTTGATCTTAGCTGGATGCGTAATTTTTAAAACCCAATAATCCAGATTACACCGCTATGGTCGTTAATGGTACTCCCCCCGTCTATGCTAATAGAAGAAAATAAAACCTGTTTTGAAAAACAAAACCTGAGCGGATTCCAACCAAACAAATCCATGAGACCGTCGCGGATAGATAAACATAAGGCAGAAGACCCGATTTTGACCATTACCCTCTTTTTGACCATTTGTTAGAGTTCATGGACAAAACCAGGTCGTAATCTTAAACTGGCCAAAACCGGGTCATCTACCCTAGATAAAGTCATCTCTCACCTGTTTTATCCGCGGCGTGGCTTTGTATACCGCCTCCAGTTTGGGGTTATCCTGTGCCTTCTTCGGCCTCGTGTCCTTGATGCCCAGGGACTTGCCGAACGGTCCGTACACATGCCTGCAAATAGCAGAACTCTCGTTCAGCGAGGTTAGAAAAATTTCTCAAAAACCCTAGCATTGATTCAAAGCTTGAATGCGATAACAATTAAGATCAATATATATTTGGAAATAATTAGTTACAAACAATTAATCAAATTCAGGAGCAATGCCTTGTAATAGATGAAAGGGAATGAGTATTTTTTTTTTATAGCAAAAAAGTAAATTTAATTAAGTTCTTAAGGCTACCACTCTGCCACAGTCATCCATGTTTTTATCTAAACTAATATTATAAAAAGGAAAGATTTGATTGTTTGTTTGCATTGAACAGCACCGAAACTACTGGATCACTTCTTTCACTCGCGGGAAGCTACATTAACTACCATTTACGCGAGCAAAAATATAAATAAATATAATAGGCATTAAATGATTATATTTCATTGATTATTTTTACATTTTACATATTTTTATGAGACTGGATCACCATTGGTCTGCGTACCATTGCTCTACATCGACAGGTGTTTATTATTTACAGTACTGTGGTGTCTCTTTTGACCTATACCAACAAATTCAGATAAACCAAAGTAGATCAATGACTTTTTATACCCGATAAAAAACTTCTCGTTGGTCCTGAGCCGCCATGGCAAGATAGAAAATGGTCCTAATAAATAAAAGGTTAATGTTAGCGTAACTGTGGAAAGTCAATGGTGATTTAACTACAATCCTTTACGACACAGTTCTTGTTAGTAGATCACAAAATAATAAATATATCTGCCACCATTGACTTGTAAGGAAGTCATAGCACTAATAATATTGGACCTCAGGTAGATAGTACAATGACCAAATGCGAGTAGTTTGATATGCGATTATTACATATAAATTAAAAGAATCAGGGCCTCAACCTGATGAAGAGCATGTTGCAGCAATCGTTGAACTCCATTATTAGATCTCCACCACGACTGATGGTGCGTGACATTGGGTGTTATGATGACATTGACCGCCGAAAACAAATTGATTCCATTTATTATGGATGCGAGAACTGAACTGAGTGTCACAGATCGTTATATCAATTTACTTTATTAAATATTCACTGACATTTCGATATGAAAAGGTCGCTGTAGTGACAATTCCGATACAATATCGTAGTGAAATGAAATTATATTAGCATTTATTGATTCAATATGTACAAATAGATACTCTATACTAATATTATAAATAGGTTAGTTTTACTTGTTAGTAGGGGGTAATCTTCGGAAATACTACTAACTAATCCGATCGTAAAAATTCAGGAAGCTACATCAATACGCGGCTGACATCTTAGTTTAAAGAGGGTTCGCTAATAAATATCAACGGATATTTATCATGATATATATCAATAGATATTTATAATATTAATTGTTAGATTGAGTAGTCTCCGCTAGAAAATCAACCCGATGTGACGCTAGCAACATTGGCCCGAAGTAGTAGCAATCTTACTTACTAGAAATATCGGGTTTTCCCCTATACGTTACTGGAAATTCTCGCTCGCATACTACTTTTTAATTATTTCATTATAAATAAACAAATATTAAATAACTCAAACTCAATTTTTATTTTACACTTTTGATTTAAAAGATCAAACATTGAATAAAGCCACTGGCAGCTTAAAAAATTGCAGCTTTTCATATGCATGATATATATATAAAATATCGGATATTGTGATATTTATTATTAATATCGGATTTATGCGAGCCCTGGTATAAAACAAAATCGCTTTCCGTAATGGATTATATTCGGTTTTCAACAATATGGAGTGATTCGAGAGGAAGGTTTAAATGTATAATACAAGAAAGACCACGCGGTCGAAGCTACGGATATCAGAAAGAAGGTTAATTAAAAAAAAAACAGCTTGTTATTTAAAACTAGAGAGCCGTCAATCACGTGCTAATGCAAATGGAAGAAATATAGTGTCTACTATATAACTTGATTGTATTATTACAAATTTTATTTGTAAAGGAAATCATTCTCATCATAGTCAGTCAAAATATCTTGATCATATCACTGTGATCCTTTATCGTTAATCCGCTATGATTGTATACAGCCAAAAATGAATACACTAATTCTTTGTCAACCCAGCACTGTCACCTCGTAGAGCTTCAATTAAATAAATCATTTATTACCTTTTGAAAAAGGTTTTATTTAATTGAACATCTATGCTATGACAACGCTGTGTCGAATTCGATGCTTTTCTAACAGGATACTACTTTAGGTTAACTTATGTCCATCCAATATTGTGATAGCCACTCGCTCAGATAAAAGTTTTAGATTAAAAAAATATATATAAATGACCTTTTGATCATAACCAAATCTATATATCGTCAAATAAAATAAACACTATGAAATCACGACATCTTACTGTACTGTGCTGGAACTTTGTATCTTATATTCGAGTTTATTCAAATTAATACCTAGCTTTTTCCCCACGACTTCTCCCGCGAAATTTATATGTTATACAAGCCGCGTATGAAAATATATTCATAATCCCTTACCAATAAAACAAAAACTTTATATTATAAACATATACATAGAAAATAAACAACACAACCTCCGAAAATTCTAATAGGACAGATTATATCGGACTAAATGCTATGCAGGCCGAGGTCGACTACAAAAAAAAAAATATTAAAAAACATGTATAAACGATAACCGCGTTTGAACCTTTACGTAATCATAATAAACAGGGCCATTATAATAAATCTCACAGAAAGCAAATCGTCTAAGACTCCGCATAAATACAAATATAAGATACGAAATGAAACGGTGGTCTAATTTTTATTAGAGCTTATTCGGACTTTAATCTTTATTGTATAACGCCCTCTTAAGAATGCTGAATCATATTCGAATCGCATAGGGATTAACACAACGAATCAGCTGTTGGCAAGTACTTGTTACAGAAATATCACTGATATGAAACACGATAACTTTACATAAATAAAGCGTTTTTAATGAGGGCTAAACGTTCTTGAATCAACACGATTGGTCGATATTACATGTAATAAGTATGAGACGTCTGTTAAGCATTAACTCTAGGTTGAATAAATGCTTAAAAGAAGACAGCTACACTAAGTATCTAAACTTCAATGCCCGCAGGAAGTGACAAAACGTTTAAGTCATGATGGATGAAAATAAGATAAAAACGCAGGTGGCCCAATTTACAGTTGAATGTTAAGAGCGCTGTAGACTACTCTTTAATCTATCAATATTATCAAAGTGAACTTTTTGATAAGGACATATTGACAATTAAATTACATTTTATTAGTGACGGTTTTGCGATATTCTCACGCGTGCGACTGCGAGTCAAAAGTTTGCTCAACGGAAGATAAAATCATTTTTCCTTTACAATATATTCTCACATGAAGAAATGTTTGTCGTTGTCGGCGAAATAAGTACGAATTTCTTCAAAGCTAGATTTTTTTCGCTCTAAATAATAATCATCTTGCTTGTATTCAGGCTAGTGATAAACTTAAATTTCATCTTCAGTAACAATCCGATCTATAACTTTGACAACGTTGTAACTATTATGGTGGTAATCTCAATAGTATACTATTCTTGTGGTTTCACTTTGAAAATAATAAATCAATCAGTTTTTAAACGATAATTCGTTTATTTATTAATTATTAATTTACAGCCAAGGAAGAATCGAATACTTTTCAAGAACCTGCCACAAAGAGTAAATCCTAAAAAATATGACTAGGTAACTTTTTCTTCTTTTATGAAAATAATGGTGTTGTGAACCAAAGAGTAGATATTTACATATTTTCTATAATTTTCAGGTGCAGCTGCCACACTATCATCAAACTGATACGTTTAACATGGCAAGATGATCCTTCAGAATAGTTAAGCTGATAATCCAAATATTTATGTAAGCAGTTTCTTCTTTAGACCAAATTACGATATTAAGATGTTAATATCGTAATTTTCCGATGTTTTCTACCATGATCAACTTGACAGGACGCCCAAGCCTAGTCATCTTCAATTTGAATCTTTCCCTTACGTGAAGAAGTAGGTGCCACTTTTAACGTGGCTTCATTATAGCAGAATCCCCATAAAACAGCAAACATCTCTAACAAAATATTCTGAAGAGGTTTTCCTTGCATAACTGCGCGAAACTCAATTTTCTCCACAATTACTCTTTCGTATTGGCTCTATATCATTTCTCAATCTGTATTTCGGTTTTAATAAAAACTATATATTATAGTACCTATTTAAAACACTTGATGAGTATCCTGACTTTGCTTGAATTAACGCCATCAGATTAGGTCAAAATATTAACGGAACATAATAATTACTTCGTGAACATTTTGACCCACCCTCGTAATATAGAAACTAGAACCTTTATACCTTATTTACTGAGCTATAGATAGATATAATATGTGAACGTTTGACATCGTTTGACTATGACGTCGATATAACCTTCTTTATTTTTGTGTCTGCAAAACTTAAAATTTTTTTTTTATTAATCACAACTTTATATCTCACAAATGAGCCGCAACCAAACTATGCTCATTTTTTATCTTTCCGCTTCGGAGGTAAACGAAACAATATATTTAAACAATGATTGGACCTTCATGAAAATCTAAGAGTTGAGGTAATATTTATTATACTGTCGTACGTTTAATGAGGCCAAGACCACATTTTGTTGTAAGTCATCGTCAAATTACAAACAAGTAGAAAAAAATTACAATACTACCTCTAATATAGACAATTTTCCGTAATCACCCGCTATTGAAGAGGGGGCGTAAAGCCAAGACTGTCCATGTCCATGGGCGTATCGACGGTGGTACTCCCCTAAATAGTGTTTAAGATAATAAAAAAGTATTTAAAAAAAAAATAGTTCCCAAAATCAAACTAGATATAGCTACAGTACGTTCTTGATTTCTCCAAGACAACCTTTCCGGTTTTCTTTCAAGTTTAAAAGTAAATAAGTTTTCAAAACTCAATAAACAACTCGTATTCTATTTGTCTTTGTCGTATTTGTATTGATATCTAAGTTTCGAACTTTTCAAATTTCAGATTTTTTAATATGTTAGTTAAAAGGAACGGAAATGACTGTCTTTGGTCCATTCGTTTCCTACAAAAATTAACTTTTACTAGAGTCGCCATCTAGAAGAGGTGTTTTTTTAGTGCTTTCGTTTTTTAAATACTTCCTCATTTAATTAAAACCGAAATTTTAGGTTATTCAGAAATAAGGTTATTAAAAACATTTTTTATTCATATAACTTATGGAGTTTCTTTACTTTTGCCCCACCCTTGAGTAAATGCTAGGTCGCGATATAGACAAGGTCACAAGATAAGGAATTGTAAATATATACGTCAAAAACAGTTTTTAGTTAATTACTAGCGAACAATTACTGTTATTGTAAAAGTGCTGCATAAATCCCTTGGTTACAAAGGGACACACGTTTTTATCAATTTTCATCATCAATATATTTATATGTTTTTAATGTATTATAATATCTGTTAGTTTCTTCTTTATGTCTATTTTACAAACTTAATTTATCTTTATGCCGCTATCGCGTTTATCGTTCTTCCTTAAGATTTACTGGGAGAGAATGCCATTAGCGTTCAGTCCGCCTTTCGTACCATATCTTTACTGTTCAATAAAGTTTAACCTAAATATATATAACTCAAAGGTGACTGACTGACATAGTGATCTATCAACGCACAGCTCAAACCACTGGACGGATCGGACTGCAATTTGGCATGCAGGTAGATGTTATGACGTAGGCATTCGCTAAGAAAGGATTTTGATAAATTCTACCCTCAAGGGGTTAAAATAGGGGATGAAAGTTTGTATGAATCTTTGTCAATTTTAAACCGATCTGGCTGAGATTTTGCATGCATAAAGTTACTATGACGTAGGCATCCCCTAAGAAAGTGTTTTGATTAATTCCACCCCTCAGGGGATAAAATAGGGGATGAAACATTATTTCAGATATTTTACACGACATAATGAAGAAATATTCGTTAGAAATCCTGCTTAAAGTAACTTTACCACGCGGACGAAGTCGCGGGTAAAAGCTAGTAAATAAATATATATTTGTTTGCAACAACACTTATAAAAACTTGGGGACAACACTTATAAAAACTTGTGGACAACACGTTTTTATTTTTTTCTATAGAGAATATTTTATATAGTCGCGTCTAGCTCGAAATAAATTACCATTACTAATATGATGTAATTTAAAAAGACATTTTAAATTACAGCCAATTTGTAAGTTATTTATTTGTGCAAAACTATTTGAGCGTATTCAAAGGGAACCCTATTTTGCGGGAACACTTGCAATTTTCATAGCTGATATTTCGCATCACGTGTGACTGCATTTTTCTAGTAATTTTCTTGACGCAGAAAGTTTATTTTTTTACGAGAACCGTCTTCATACATTTCCCATAAAATTAATCACTACGCCAAAATTCATTAAAAAAAATATTCAGCGGTTTGGACGTTAAAAATAAGACATGATTACTCTCGCATATAAGTATGAATAATAAACAATCATGCAGGCCGCCTCCATGTCTGCGTTCTCCGCCTTCACTATTCAAGTAATCTCAACGGATACAACGTGTCATTATATGAATCATATGAACACTCCTTTTCTCATAAGTTCAGCTAACACCTACTGTAAATCATTGTGTAACTCGCCTAAATCTGAATAGAATGTGGTCACTACTAGGGATTGCAATCTAGGAAACAATTCCAGAGATCTTCTGTTTGTCCAAGAACGAAATTTTCCAATGAAGAATTAAGTTCTTATAATTTCATTAAAATCATATCTGTGAAGATTATTTATGCATCAGAGGCAGTATCAGGTCCTACTTACATTGCATCACAAATTATTGAATAATGCTTTCCTTAGGAGTCGGATTAGCGTTTAGAAAATAGACAAAGTGTAATTATCGTAGAAACAGAGTAGGTCAGATTAAAGTAGATAATGAACTTTCCTATTTCGCCTTTCATCTGGGTGTTAGGGTACTTTCGTAGTTTTATACATGGGCTTTGGATAGGTACTGATCTAAGCTACAAGCCTGAGAACTAATGAACTGGACAAAATTGAAATGAAATTAAGCTTGTCAATATGCTACTACATTTGCAATAGAATTCACGTCACGAGGAATCTTATTTGTTAGGTTTGTTTGGACAACTGCATTCAAAGATGAAATTATATGTTGCTATGTTATTTTTAATCTTCATATTAGATCGAAGAATGATTTAAGGCAGTTATAAACGTATTTAACTGGCTTATAAATGAGAACAAAAAATATTCAGAAAATGTGACAATACAAGTAGCACAAGGTTTGTCTTCCTTGATCTTATGATGAATATTATGTATTGTAAGTTTATTTATTTGAAAGAACTACTAAGTTTTTAAAGTTGTAGAGATAATAAAGAAGGACCATGCTAAATTCTTACTTAATTACATATATATAAAGTTATAATTTCTAACATAATTTATCCAATTTTCTATACAATCTACTTAGAAAATATCTTCTGAAAAAGGTTATTAAGGCAAGCAAACATTGACTTGTTGAATAATTATATTTTATTTTCTAAGGTGAATCTACAGTTACATTAAATTAAATAAAAAAACAATAAAAAGAAACAGAGAACCAATTATAGACTCACACATATAGATACAAACTAAAATAAGGACACAAACCAATGTTACCACTATGTTAATCAAACAAGTACATATATCAATAATTAAAAGAAAAACATATTAAAAAAGCCTTTGGTCAAGTAATCAGATTCATAAAAATTTGTCTTGCTAAGTTACAGCTTGAACCAAATAGATCTAAATCAATCTTATTACACAAATCATTGAAGCATTTGCCTGCATGGAGCAAAAAGGTATTTTGGCTATAATTAGTATTTGAAATGGGTATATGAATAGGCCTAAAAGAACGAAGATTCCTTCCTGGTACATTAGACTCAATAATGAAAGAAGCTAAGATATTTTTATGATTTCATTTATTCAAAAAGACAATGCAAAGTTCTTTGTTATGAAAACAATAAATACTATCCTATACTGTATGCTATTATCGCTTTAAAATCGATTAACAGGAATTATAAAATTATTGATTTGGAATAAGGATATTTGAGTATATTAAGGACATTAACCACTGAAGGTTGTGGAGCGGGCTAAGCTCACATTACAAATTACTATATCTAAATCTCAATTACCGTTGTGTGGGACTTAACAACTATAGTCTTTCAACAATAAAAAAAAAACACTCAATTTCAAATGGTGTCGAAGTTGAATGATATAGAGCTTTAATCTCAATATCAGTTGAAGATTTGAAAATGATGAAGTGTTCATTTGCTTTCATAACAAATTTATTACAATATAGGATTATACAAAGTAGCATAGAGTGCAACACCATAAAATGTAAAAACAATTTATCAATAAAGTTACTTTTTTGAAAGTGAAATGTCAGAGCAAGAATGAGAAGCAAATATGTATTGTAGGTAATAAGAATTTTTATTCTGAGTATTTTGATAATACTTATCAGTTGGATTTTATCAAGCAAAGGTAAATAAAAATAGGAGGGATCATCAGAACAGTAATTTGCAAGTTAACAGTGTCTAAATCAGCAGTTGTATCAGTTGTACATATTAATAAAATAAGAGTAAAATTATAATAGATACATTTATTTTTAATAATCTAGTCTAAATAAAGGTTTTTTTTCTTTCCAAAAAAGGTTGTCACCTTATTAACCAAATGGCTGTATATTTAAATAAAAAAAGTATTTATAGCAAATATTTCAGAAAAATACTAATATTTTTATCTCATTAAACTGGTTAGGATAAATTGGAGTTCATTATGCAAATAATTTGCAAATAAAAAAATTCTGTTGGAATTTGTATTTAGTTGATTCATGATTTGAAAATTTTAATGAAGATCATGAAGATGTATATAATTATATTACTTATTAATTGATTGTCATTGGCTGCAATAAACCAAATCCATATTATATATTGCCAAACCTTAATTTAACTACACTGATGTCCACAAACTGTTAATAAATCCTAATTTGATATTTTCAGTGACTTTTAAAATAAAATATATACATATAGCAATCAATACTTTACTCTTCATCAATTTTTATATTTATATTAATGTCTATTTTTTTGTATGCAAATAAGTTGATTTTTTCTTTTGATCAATATTTGTTCAAAACATATTTAAATGTTTATGTTGATTTTAAATTTAATCTTGGTCTTGATTTAAATCTAAAAATACTGACACCATATCAGTCACATTTTTGAAACCTAGGCAAATCAGTATGAATTACTTTCTTTTTACTGGTTTATTTATGACAATAAATAGAAACATTTTCTTAATTATTTTAAAATATAATTGACAAGTTTTACTTTTATACCTAGTTAAAGTTTATACTTTTCTTTTAACCTCTTATGAGGTTGACATTCTTCCTTGTAAAGAAAACAAAAATTGCAAAATATAATTGATGAATGCCTTACATCCTCGCGTTCATCCGACCGCAACCGTGTCGGTTTCCTAATACAACCAGTGACTCACATTATGAGGATAACCTATTATTAATACATTGCATATATCTACCGCACATGGCTTAATATAAAAAAAATAAGGTACTCACTTTTCAAGCACATATCGTAGAGCTATAAACACGAATGCTAACGGTATTGGATACCAAATGTGTGTGTGATCTGTATATTTCACTGCCTTATCGGGACCTGGAGCTATGTCTTCCCACGTAGTGTTAGGCGGTAACCACACATGCTCGTTCCAGAACCCGTCCAGCAGAGGTTTCAACATTTTCAGCACTGGTGATAACGACCGATTTCATTTACGTCCACCGGAATCGATAGTATTATTTTAATCACGTTCTAACGTAGACGCGGCACGCGAATTAATAAAAAATCAAGTAAATGTCAAATAGTGACATACAATGACATAACTCAAGATTTTGTTAAGGCAAAGGGATCCCAGTCTATACAGCCTGGCCTTCTTTACCTATTAGCTATTTGGTATTGTAAGTACTTTAATCAGTTATCTATCCATTTTGTCTTCCATCCAAGAAGTTTATATATCATTCAAATTTTTGGTTTCTATCAAATGAGAAAATATTAAAAATAGTAGTTCTTGAAAACAAACTTGCTACTGCTGGGTAACACGGTCGAAACATCATTTTTTTTAATTTGAATCAAAGACAAACCTTTTTTAATAAAAGCTCTTTAATGCATCTTTGGGCAATCCGAAACTGTTGTAGTAATAAATTCTTATAAATCTGTTCGATTTTAACATGATTGACTAGCATATAGTAAACTTTCTTATAACAAGGTCGCAGAAGAGGAAGACTGTCGCACCTATGATTATATACTTGTCTAGATAGAATAGCTAAGCTTAGTGCCGGATTAAGCCAGGGCGGGGCCTGTAGCAAATTTTTTGTGGGGCCCTCGATTTATTTGAGATTAGGTGTATAAATTAAATAAAACAAAAACACTTTTCAATCACTTTTCTTGAACTGTAACATTTCATTATAAAAGTAACCATCAATACAACTATTCAGATTCAATTTGACTTACCTTATGAATATCAACACGCGCCTTCTTGTTTTTGAGATTTAACAACAAAATAATGGTAAGTTATGTTAAGATTTACGGCTTTAAAAAAATGTGGGCATTCTACCAATCACATAATATATCTTTCGTGATGACGACGACGAATAATCAGCATCAGTAACTTTGCATACGAAACAGAAAATTCGTCCTTTGCATTCCGAATAAAACAACACAACTAATCTGGGACTTGAATTTTTACTTTTATTTAAAGTAAAAACGTCTCTCAAACGTCTGCATAGTTACTACATGCTGATGGAGTCATACCTCACTAACAGAATCTTCCAGCACGTGTAGCATGACAAACTCGAGAAACGCTTTGACAACACCCAAATATCACATTCTCGGGTCGAGAGTGAAATGTTGTATGAGTGCACCCGAGAAAAGTGACATTTGAGTGTAAACAAAACGTTCTCGAGTTCATCATGCTACGCGTGCAGGTGAGAGATAGGATGGAGGACTATCTATTAATCAAGAAATAATGGCGGGAGTCTCGCAGGGCTTTGTCCTTGGCCCCGTTTTATATGGTATCTAGCTGATATCCCAGAACACAAGGGGTAACTATGACTACATTCGCTAACGACACTGCAATTATTGCAAGTAGTAAGGATCCAGTCGTAGCATCTGCCTTTTTGCAAAATAACCTTTATAAAGTTAGCGAATGAATCCAGAGATGGAAAATCAAAGCCAACACAACTAAATCACTGAAGAGGGAAAGTTGTCCTCCGGTAAAACTGGATGACAGCGTCCTGCCACTGAAGAAGTTATTTATATTAAGAAAATATATTTTATAGATTTCAAATTAGTTCAAATGTTTATTTAATTATATTTGTCCAAAAATTTGATGTAAACGGTGTTCAAAAATCTTGTCACAACAGAAAGTAATGGCTTTGTGTCATTTTCTCTTTTTATACGGAGCTTTAGTTTCGTAAAAACATATTTTAAAATTACGGATTTTGGTATAAATAAATAATATTATTTTCTTTCGTCTTTTAATCATTCAAATTTTTGTTCGCATACAAAAGAGAATATATAGCAAAACAACATTATCTATTCAACATTGGTCTCACGTACATACACACCACTATTAAACAACATAATATTTGATAATCTCCTCATCCTCAATTCAGAATACTAAAACTAAAGACAAACTTATAATACAGTCAACAGCAAATTACCCAAAATTGTCAAACACCAATCAATTTTGTACCTTAACCCGTCAACCTTAAAGTTCTAAAACATTTACGTAAATAAAATCTTGTCCTTAAAGTTATGGTTTGACGGTGCAGACATGACTAGGAATGATATTGTCAATATGTTAAGGTTACGTTCCGGACATATTCCTCTTAATGGATTTGCGTTTCTCATGGGTAAAACAATCTCGCCAGTTTGTTCAGAATGTAATAAAATTGAAGATGCAAGTCATATTATGATGGAGTGTGTCCGGAATGATAATGAAAGAAAACAGTTTTTTAACCTTAGAAATGTCAACGTTTTTGAAGTAGGTGTGTGTAATAGTATGTTAGCCTCTCCTCTTTCTGGAGATGCTAAGATGCTACTAAAAATAGTGTCATCAGGCCTCAAACGAAGAATATAAAATAACATGCATATACATAATGAGGGTGACATGGTCACTGCGTGACAAAACCCTCAAAGAAATAAAGAAAAAAAAAAAAATCTTGTCCTTCTTATCAGCCAAAAGACATACTGAAAAAGTTGGACGTTTGAAAATCCTTTTAATGAGTTTATTTTAATAAAGATTATTTTGACTTTGATACATTTCGTTGCACCTGATGGGCTCCTTTCGTACATTTTTTTTCATTAGGATAAAAAGCTATACAATGCCTTAAATCGATGCAAATGCAGTTGTTAAAGGGAGAATTCGGCACCCTAATGTGGATACTCGATAACGTGTGTTTATCTATCCCACCCTGAACGAGGTGGACAACAGGAATCCGCATCATAATTATTTTACTTCCGATTTTACTCCCCCGCCTGTGTAGTCATTTAAAAAAATATATTAACCCAGCCCAAGATACTTTGGATAAAAAAGAAATGATTAATTTTGTTTAATGAAAATGTCATTTTTATAAATACACGATAGAAGCTTTTGTGTAATAGACAATTTTATTCCACTGTACTTGGAGTAAAAATTACCAAGAATATTCAAAAGTAACTTCCATATATCCACCCCGTTCAGGGTGGATAGATGAACACGCGATTCCAAGTATCCACCTTAGGGTGACTGTTTCATAAGATAAACGGAATAAGCCTAGAGATCTATTTATGCTTATGCAGCACTATCCCACCTCTACCATTACAACTGTATCGCGTCAAATACATTAGTTATGGTATTCATACCAGCATAAGAAGTAACTTAAACACAAAATTAGAATTGATACAATCGATATTGAACCTGATAGCCATTTTTTTAACTTATTAATTTTTCAAAATAAATTACCGAATTTCGACAAAAGATAACACATGGCATTGTTGACTGTACACAACAACATATCGCGTTCCTACAAAAAAACTAATTTCTCCTATCAATTTCGACTTGGTAACTATCTATAGATAAAGCTTATAATTAATTGGAGTTAGACCTTTTGTAGTAACATGACATTTTCTTAAATAATTTTTAATTCTTACTTAGCTGTCTATTAGTGTTCTGAATTGATTATAAAAAATATTATTATAATTATGTACTCTTGTTTCACATAAAATTGTCTCACAGAACGAGATATTGTATCATATTAAACTAACAGATAATCGCAGTTGCGTTTATCAACATGTTTTAGAATTTCCCTTTAAACAAGTAATAAAAATATAACCGACATAAGGTTGAAAGCATAGACTTTGACCTGACAATGAAATGTAATGTCCACCCTTTCCTTCTTTGCAAAAAAGGGCAGCTGTAAAATTACAATTATTTTAGGACAAAGTCTACATAATTATAAAAAAAAAACACATTTATTAAAACTTAAGAGTTTACATTTAAATATTTTTATTACTATCCACAACAATACATTTAAAGATAATTAAAATATTTCATTGTCCAGTTATTTATATTAAATCAAATAACTATATTCTCAGTAAGCTGTAAGCCGACGCAGTCAACTGATTGAATGAGATTGAACAAATTTTAATTGTTTCGCGACAAAAAAAAAAGCCATTGACACCAATTAAAACAAAAACGCAATGGCAGAGAAATAAGTATACTAATTCAACCTTAGAATTTCAACCAGTAAGTCAACTAATTTAATCTTAGAATTTCAACCAGTAAGTCAATATATTGAACGTATAAAATGTTATAAGTGAATTATAAAACAAATCGAATAGTATCGTTTGAAAGGGGTATAATTATAGTTATTTCAATAAATTGACTGCGATACGTTCGGGTCTGAAATGAGTGTACAAACTGTTTAAATTAAATGTTCTTTATTGTATTTGCAATATATATGTGACTTTTTTATTATCATAAGCATCTAAATATGTTTTGATGTAACTATACTATCAAAGTACGTGATACAACAGAATCGCTACCTACATAAGTAAAAAAAAAAAAAAAAATTTTGAGTGCCGGATCAAGACTACTACTTGACGCCCTAAGCAATCCTTGTCAATTAAATTAGAAAAATTAAATATATAACACAACTAGATACAATATCACGTATCAGGGATAATATCCTATGCATCCTTAGATTATAAGATAGGATATGTATGTCTTGTTAAATACGTGGAGTACCAAAACCACCAAAAACCTTTCAAAATACCTTACTTATACGTTAGCAATTGTCATCGTACTGTTTTTGATGATCTAATGTGATGTTTTGCTTATGGGCTAATTCAGCACAGTTAATCATTAAAAAAAACAACAACTTCTCAGTTAGCAGCTTACATTTTGTTTCAAAGTAATTCTAAAACTTTAGATTATTTTTTTATAAGGCAAATATTTTTATTTTAGTAGTTAAAAAAATATGATTTTTATCACAACCTTGAAAACTGCTAATGCGCGTGGCCGCCATTTTGGTGACGCAATTATTTTCAACGATCAATACCGTTAACAAATAAACACTGGTTGACGAGTACACTTATTGAGTTGGGCTGTGTTGGGTAAGACATAGAATTTTGTTATGATTTTTTTTTATTGTTATTGCTAAGTTTTGTTGTTACTTGTTATAACTAACTTAAATAGCAACTGCTATTATGACTTCAAAACAAGTAATACTTTTTTATTAAAAATAAATATATCTAATGTCTTTCATTTCACAATTACTTTTGAGGACGTTTTAAAAAACGTTCTTTCGTTTTGTTATTACAAAATAAATG